GACATCCTCAGGACCAGACAAAAATCACGTTATAGAGAGGCAAACCAATATTGCTTATGATATATAAGGAAAAAATGGGGACCTGGGCACCATGTCGCTATACAGAGGATGTCGTTACATCGAAGGTGTCGCTATACAGAGGATGTGGTTATATCGAAGGTCGTTATAGAGAGGATGTCGTTATATCGAAGGTCGTTATAGAGAGGCTGCACGGTACTATTAGTCATAGGGGAGTACAAAGCCCATTCTAAAAAATTATCTCTCCTCCTCACACACACACACACACACACACACACACACACACACACACACACACACACACACACACACACACACACACACACAGATCTCAACATTTATGATCAAAATTCTATTTTGTCCTTTATGCCCTACCTGCTGAACTTTGACCCGTGGTTGGCCCCACTCCCTGTTGTTAGTTGTAGTTTTAGTAGAGGTTTTACGGCACTCGCAACTGCATAAGGTCAAATGAACGCCAAGGGGTGGATGTCAACAGAGAAGTCCATACAGGGAATCAGACTTACTCTGTTCACCTCTCTAGCCTCAACAGCACAAAGTCTGCTTCGACTATCAAGGCAGCCTGGAAATAGCGGGTCACAAGAGAGTGACAAACATACAAAAGAAGTAAAGGAAAAATTTAAAAGACTGAAGATTTTCCTGTTAGTGGATACAGTTGTAGCACAGGTGAGTGGATACAGTTGTAGCACAGGTGAGTGGATACAGTTGTAGCACAGGTGAGCCGACGTTGACGCGCAGGGAGAGGGGGAGACACATCAGCAAATGTTGGTCCTCAATATCAACCAATCTTGCCCACCCCGCCTTATTGCACATGTGATAAATATTTGAAAGTAGCGATAAGATAAGTTGTAATAATAACATACAGGTGCAAAAAAATTTTTTTAATCAGGTGAAAATCAGACGCAAAAAAAACATGAAGAAAAAAACAATCTTTAAAAAAAACAACCACAAACAGTTGTGTATGACAAGACAGTGGACACACGTACCAGGCAGCGTGACTGAGGGATGAACTATCAGAGAGCTCACACCACATCAGAGACAGTGGACACATGTACCAGGCAGCGTGACTAGGGATGAACTATCAGAGAGCTCACACCACATCAGAGACAGTGGACACATGTACCAGGCAGCGTGACTAGGGATGAACTATCAGAGAGCTCACACCACATCAGAGACAGTGGACACATGTACCAGGCAGCGTGACTGAGGGAACAACTGTCAGAGAGCTCACACGACATCAGAGACAGCGGCTGTGGGCGGACCTAAATCTGGGTGGGGCTTCGGTTGCTTCCACTTCTTTACCACCAAAATGTGAGGCAGCATGGTGGAATCAGGCTCTCGTCAATTTTTGGGCATGTAGAGTTATTGGTTTCATCTTAAAGCTTGTTCACTTGTCTTTATTTGGATGAAAAAATATCCATTTATCTTGAATACAAGTCGAGATATTTGCAATGGCCGCCAAAGATTAGTTATTTCCTTAGCTTAAGAGTCTGTGGAAACATAAAAATTACATTTTTTGTGCCTTCAATCAACATTTTTCTTAAAAATCCACACAGAAATTAGTTTTTTAATGGGCATGAAAGGTGTTGAGCCAAAAAAACAAAAATTTGATAAAAATTCCCAAACCTGTGGAAAAATGAAAATTTTTTCACTTTGACTATTTTGACGAGAGCCTGATTCTACCACGCTGCCTCACAAATAGCAAGCCCTCAGTACAGTGTTCCTTTTTCCAGTCTTCTACCTTTTCACACGAAGAGTTTCATTACGGAAGTGCCGTGGGAACGGGCTCGTCCTTTGCTGAGCCCTAAAGTAAAGACATTTGATTGACTGCTGGGTTACTATAGTTGTAAGCGGTGACAACAGTGATTGGATAAACGAGCAAGCCGCCAAGATGATCACTGAGTTCATTGCGTACCATCATAACGGTTTGAACTGCTTATTTCGTTAGTTAAGAAACTTTCATTTACTTTGGGATAGAGTTGGGGGGGGGGCTCAAGCCCGTGAGCCCTTCATGCGCGCAGAGCACAGTTTCATTTTTTTTAGTAATTTAACGGCACTTGCAACACAATAAGGCCATAGAAGTGCTGAAGATTAGAGGTGTTACAAGAGAGTAACAAACAAAAAAAAGAAGGAGGAGAGATGAGGACGAAAGATATTTGATAGGAAAGAAGGAGCAAACCACACCAGAGCACCCGCCAACCACCCACACAGCACAGCCCACAGGTGACATGGCTAACAAGAGAACCACAAGAACGTAGCAGATCTTTGGCCGCGTGTGACAAATGGAAGACGTTCAGTAACACAACACTGTCGGGGCCCTCGGGTCTTTCAACAGGGGAGAGGGAGCCCCAGGAAGCATTAAGAATTCTTAAACTTCTTGTGTCTGAATACGAGAGAGAAAAAATTAAACCGATAAATATACAACACGATGGACAGAACAAATTGTTGCCCTCGCGATAAGACCGGCTAACTCCAGCCAGGTAAACTTTTACAAGAAACGCAAAGCAAACTTACTGGTCTCACCACGTGGAACCCCGAGGTCCAGCGGACTGTTCAGTTTTATTTTTAACATTTTTGGAGCATTTTTGGTTTTTAAAAAAATAATTTAAAACCTGTCTTTGTCTTTCAGCCAAAACCCATGATCTTATGGTAGGAAAGATCTACATCTAGCCTTCTCGGACAAGGGTGAAAAATCTCGGAGGTTCCGTGTGCAAGTTGCGAAAGTTGAAGATCCCTTAGTGGTCCAAAATCGATAAGTGTAGGCTTCGGCAGCCATCCGAGGAATATTCAAAATTTCCTACCAACTAAAAGTGTTTGGTGTGTCCCGCTCGCTCACATGACCTTATGTAGTTGCGAGCGCCGTAAAACACTTACCCAAAAAAAACCTTAAAAACCCAACCTGTCTTTAACAGAGCATATGAAATGGACGATCAACAATTTACAATTTTACCATCGGCAAATTCAACGAAAAAAAAAGACACAATATTTTGTAGGTTGGCCGGTCTTATCACAAAGGGCGTGAAATACTGGCAAGGACAAAAGACAATTCATATGTGCGACAAAAAGTGCTAGTCTTTGAATAGAAAATCTCAAACGATCAACCAACATCTCATCAACAGTTACGCGACCCTTCCTTCCAAGAGGCACAGAGATTCTCCACCAATCAAACAAGCCCAGTCTTTCAACAACTTGGATGGGAAAAAGGTCCCCCCTCATATTGCACACAATCCTGTGATCTTTCCCTGCCTGACATACACCTCCATACACATCGTTTCCCACTCCTGAATTGTTGACATGCGTCACGACAGGGCCACATCGGGCGCTCCTGTCCTCAACTTTGGGGCGTAGTATGGAGTGATTGGTGTCATCTCAAGCTAGAGTGTCCTTGAAAACTGCAAACTTACATTTTTTAAAAAATTAAGTCCAATCAATGTTTTTCAGTAAAATCCACACACAGAAATATTTTTTTAATTGAAAGGAAAAAAAAGAAAAGAAGTGTTGAGCCAGAAAAAAAAAGTTTGATAAAATTTGGCAATCAGGCGGGAAAATGTCGCTTTGTTCAACGTCATGGTTCTGACAGACGTCATGGTTCTGACAGACGTCATGGTTCTGACAGACAGACGTCATGGTTCTGACAGACAGACGTCATGGTTCTGACAGACAGACGTCATGGTTCTGACAGACAGACGTCATGGTTCTGACAGACAGACGTCATGGTTCTGACAGACGTCATGGTTCTGACAGACGTCATGGTTCTGACAGACAGACGTCATGGTTCTGACAGACGTCATGGTTCTGACAGACAGACGTCATGGTTCTGACAGACAGACGTCATGGTTCTGACAGACGTCATGGTTCTGACAGACGTCATGGTTCTGACAGACGTCATGGTTCTGACAGACAGACGTCATGGTTCTGACAGACAGACGTCATGGTTCTGACAGACGTCATGGTTCTGACAGACGTCATGGTTCTGACAGACAGACGTCATGGTTCTGACAGACGTCATGGTTCTGACAGACGTCATGGTTCTCACAGACGTCATGGTTCTGACAGACAGACGTCATGGTTCTGACAGACAGACGTCATGGTTCTGACAGACAGACGTCATGGTTCTGACAGACGTCATGGTTCTGACAGACGTCATGGTTCTGACAGACAGACGTCATGGTTCTGACAGACGTCATGGTTCTCACAGACGTCATGGTTCTGACAGACAGACGTCATGGTTCTGACAGACGTCATGGTTCTGACAGACGTCATGGTTCTGACAGACGTCATGGTTCTGACAGACGTCATGGTTCTGACAGACGTCATGGTTCTGACAGACAGACGTCATGGTTCTGACAGACGTCATGGTTCTGACAGACAGACGTCATGGTTCTGACAGACGTCATGGTTCTGACAGACGTCATGGTTCTGACAGACGTCATGGTTCTGACAGACAGACGTCATGGTTCTGACAGACAGACGTCATGGTTCTGACAAGTCCCTGATTCCACGATCCCACACACATGACTCAACGTTTCCCGTCTGCGCTTCACAAAACTGACAACATGTCATCCCGCCGACGTTTGTTCATTCTTTTAGTTTTAGTTTTAGTAGATGTTTTGCGGCGCACGCAACTACATAAGGTCATATGAGCGCCAGAAGATTAGAGGTGTTACAAGAGAGTAACAAACATTAAAAAAAGAAGAGATAAGGACGATAGATGTATGTTTGATAGGAAAGAAGGAGCACACCACACCACAGCACCCGCCAACCACCCACTTGTTCATTGTTACATGTCTCTGCATTTCCATAAACTGCCTCAAACATCAGTTTTCTCCAACAATACAGAATAAGTTTTCAAAAAATGTTGCAGGCATGTAAGTGTAAGACGACAGCAGGTGGGTGACCTTTCAAAGTCTGACACACCGTGTTTGTGTGTAGTACATAGGGCTCATCAACAAGACACACAGTCACACTTGAGATACACGCCTGTTTTTCTGGATTTCCACAAGTGACACATTATGCTATGGAAAGTCTGGTCTCACATTGGAATCAACAAAAAACTTACGGACATGCATGTACACCAGCTACCCACTTACACACAAAAGCATGTAATCATTTCACACATGCAAGCATACAACAATTTTACACACCAAACACGTGACAATTTTACACACCCAAGCACGTACGGTAACATGACCTACTTATATACACACGCACAAGCAAGAAACATCATCCACTTCACACACACAAGCACGGAACATCATCCACTTCACACACGCAAGCATGTCACTTGACCTTATTCTGTACACACACTCAAACTCGCAACATGTAAGACCTATTTCTGCTCAGTGATGACCGCTGTCTTTGGATTTGTCGTCCATCGCCTCTTTGGCTTTGGTTCCAAACGTCTCAAGGTAGTTGTAGTGCAGCTTCGTGTTCACCGTCGCCAGGAGCCCTCGTTCATTTTTCATATCCTGAAGAGGTGAGTAGTCGATGTAATCTCCGTCTAAGGTGGTCATCTTCCCTCCTACGGCATTCAAAATTGCGTTGCCTGCACAAATGTCCCACTTTTTGATCCGCGTGATGTGGGTGTAAGCATTCACGGAGCCTTTAATCACCTCCAACGTTTTGTATCCTGAAAAAAAAAAATTTTTTTAAAAGAGGAATGTATTTTTCCAACTAGGTGAACTTCAGTCGCATCATCATCCAGTGCCAGATCTGCGACAGACATCGGCGATCATGGTCCTCCAATCATTTCTTTGCTCGGACGCTCTCAAAAAAGCTACATTATCATTATCTTTCCTCCCCCCATCTGTTCAGGCTCTCAAAGTAAGTCGCTCTGGGCCTACCACTGCATCGTTCGTCTACAGTTCTGCCAGTAAGAGCTAGATGTTCAAGGCCCTTATGTCTATTTAAGTGTCCTCAAAACAGCTTTTTTCTCTTCTAAAATTATGAAATTATAAATACAACATGACCCTTCCAAGATCACCATTATTAATCTGCATACCTCCAGAAATTTTTTTTTTTTTTTTAATTGGTAGGTGTTCTTCTGGCTCCATCGCCACAATTCAGAAAATTATTTAGAAGGTCGGCTTCCAACTCTGCCCCGAAAATATTGCTATTGGGGGAGAGAAAAAAATGTGCTACAGTGATGAAAAGCAGACGACCACAAACCTTAGGTTGTTCAAAACATCAGGTTAGAAAAACCAGTAAGCCAGCCGGTTTACGGATACAAAATTGATTACGATTGAAGTAGAGTCAAACTGTTTAAGCTAGTCGGTCTATGAATAGACAATTGTTGATTACGTCAGTCGGTCTATGGATAGACAATTGTTGATAACGATAGAAGTAGAGTCAAACTGTTTAAGCTAGTTGGTCTATGGATAGACAATTGTTGATTACGCCAGTCAGTCTATGGATAGACAATTGTTGATTACAATAGAAGTAGTCAAGCTGTCTTAGCCAGCAATCAAGAGATGATGAGAGAGGTGGCTGTCTTACACACTGTCATTTTAATGTAAGAAATACACAAGGGAGGAAATGAGAGTTTGCCATTTGGACAAGTGATTGTCTTATACAGGTGGCCTTCAGAGCTGGTTCGACTATACTTTGATAGCTACGATTAGAAAAAGAATGAAACAAAATAGCAGTGCGCTGAGAAGCAGTGACGAGCTGTGACTTTTAAACTTAATCAATAAAGCTCACAAATACCCTTGACATTTACGAGTGGATGGAATCAATAGTCAGGCCGAGGGCAAATGTTGTATGGACTTCCTTGAGATGAGAGAACCTATAGGAAGGGCGTGAAGGAACAAAAGGACGGGGGACAGTTCAGCCACAAAAAGTGATTTATAACCAAAGTCACGTTCAGATCTGGCCGGGTTGCATGAGCTGAGATCTCACACGATATTCTTCCTCCACATCAGTTGGATCTCTTCACTGTCTTCTTGTTACAACATGCAACTTCCTAAACTTTCAGATACAGATGAAATTATCTGAGGCAGCCATCCAATGTCGAAAAGAAAAGGTGGACGTTTTAGACAGGCAGCCGTATTACACAGTGGAATTATGTAGAGAGAGAGAGAGAGAGAGAGAGAGAGAGAGAGAGAGAGAAAGGAAGAGATAGAGGAGGCCAGAAAGCACTACAGACGGAGTGTTAGAGTGACAGGGAGGGTGTCGTCGAAAGCGCCTAGGCTAGAGTAGCCTACGGTTGGCCTACTTAATGTATTCATGGGTCAAAGTTAAAGATTCAGCCAATCGTAGCCCGGTTTACTCCCTGCGTGTAGTCTCGTGTGAATGTATGTCTAGATCTAACATCTAGATCAAGATTTAAAAAAATAATCTTGAAAGTATTGAAAGTAGATTTCTCCTGCAGTGGATTTAGCGCGCTCGCCGAACTGCGCCGAAGGATATTTTGTGTTCAGTGTGTTCGTGTGTAGATCTATGTCTAGATCTAATATCTAATCTAGATCCAGATCAAGATAAAAATCCTGAAAGTATTGAAAGTAGATTTCTCCTGCAGTGGATTTAGCGCGCACTTCGAAGGATGAGTGTATTTTGTGCACAGTGTCTAGATGAGATCTAGAATCTTGATCTAGAATCTAGATCTAGAATCTGGATCTAGAATCTAGATCTGAATCAAGACAAGAAGAATCATGAAATGAAAGTAGAATCTAGATCTGTGATATTTCGATAACCTATTCAATATTGAAAGTGAATTTTTCTTGCTGTACATTATATATTCTCTAGATCAAGATCTATATTATGCATCTTAGATCGAGATCAAGAATGATGAA